TAATATTTAATTCTTACAATGATAGGTGAGACTTTATATGATTAAATGGTCTTGAGAATACATGTCTCTGTTCATGAAGTCAGACTCAGTAGGTTTCTTGTACTCTGTAGGTTGCTACAGGTTCAACATATATTATGTAGAAGTACCTGGGAAGAAAATTGCTTAAAAATTATAGTCCAGATTCACTGAACTCATTAACTTTAATGCCCATTTAATTTTAGTCAACTAAAAAACAAAACAAAACTCTGTTTTTTGTTTAATTGTATTTAGTATTCTGAAAATTTAAATGGTGTTTTTTAAAGTGCTCTGGATTTTTTCTAAAATCAATAAAACAACACTGTGTTGCTTTTATGAATAAGCAGGTAAGAGCATTTGAAAGGGCATGTGAAGATGCCGATATGCTCCCACATAGAATTGCGGATGATGGACAACTTTATGAGGGCCAAAGTTTATTGCTCACAACAGCAAAATTAATGCTTTAAATAGTTTGAAGGCTTCATACAAGCAAACTGGAAGACAAAACCAGAACTGCTAATGCCTCCTTTTCTGCTATCCTGTGCTAAGATTAAATCCAGCAGAGACGAGATGTAATAAAGGTTCTGTTCTGGTCGTTTTGATCACAAGACAAAATGAATGTATATTGTAAATGAAGAGAACTATTTTAAAAATCTTACCTAAAATCACTTTTGCATACTTGTTTAAATACATAATATGTTACAGCCCTTTCTGACAGTAGCTGGTGTAGAATACACATACAGCCAGAAAAAAAAGACTTTGAATTTTTTCAATTGGTTTATCTCTGTTGTCTTCATAGAACCATAGAATAGCCTAAGCTGGAATGGACCTTAGAGATCACTTTAATCCTGCCTCCCTGTGGCCAGGGACGCCACCTCTCAACTAGATCAGGCAACACATGGGGACCGAACAGGAATCGAACCTGTGACCTCAGCGTTGTTAGTGCCACACTCAACAGACTGAGCTAACCGGCCCCCTACTGAGCTAACCGGCCCCCTACTGAGCTAACCAGCCCCTGTCTTGAAAACCTTTCCTGTTGACAGGACCAACCTATTTCATAACACTGAAGTATATTAGGTTTGTCTAAGCAGGATGAGCAATTATGAACAATTTTTCTAAGAGATTTTTTAACCCTTTGTAAAAATTACAGAAAAGAATAACATGGGAGATAGATGTAATTGAAGCATTTTATCACCAGGAAATAAAATTAGCGGATCAAAATTACCACAGCAGTGACAGAGAGCAACTGCAGATATTTTAAACATAGATGTTGATGCAAGGTGCTCTTACTTTTAAAATTTCCTCTATTTCACCAGATAAAATCTAACACTCGGTTTTCTGCCTATCACTAGCTTATCCAAAGACAGTCAATTGACCTTATGGAACCAACACCAGAGAGGCTATATAAAAAGATGATGTAGAGAATGAGAAAACCTCAGCCTCAAACAGGAACATGGTGAAGTCAGATAGCAAATATCTTTCAGTGAACTATTAATAAATACATAATGAGATCAAGTAAGGTCCATGGAATTCATAGAGTCATAGTCACAGAATCATAAAATGTTTTGGGTTGGAAGGCACATTTAAAGGTCATCTAATCCACAGTTTTGAATAAAAGTAAATTAAAGAGGAACCAAAAGAGAATTCTTCCTCTTAAAGGTTTCTGGAGTTTAGTTCGCAGGTCCAGTACTTTGAATAAACATTAATTTTACGGAAAGAATCACTGAAGGTACCGAGAAGATGTCAGCAAATACAATTAATGTGATACAGCATTTATACGGCAGAAGAAAAAAGAGCAAAGTGAAGTGTCATGTTAAATAAAACCTGAAAATACAAAATGAAAGAACTGGGCTAAGTAAGAAAGAAAGAAAACAGAAAGAGACAAATGGCTTCATGCAAGGATGGCATATATTTAAACTAAGATTGTGATGAGTCTGCAAATGAATAGAACCTTAAACGAGAGTATGCAGATGATAAGACAAGGATAAATCAAAAGACTTGTAAATACAGTGACAACAGCACATAGAAAAAAGAAAGGCAATAAATATATATTTCAAACCCAAAAAGAACATCAAACTTTCCCGCCCACACAGCCAGTCTGAATTAAAAAGCAACTAAGGTGTAGAATTGTCAACAGAAATCCAAAAGCTAAAAGATCCTAAAGGAACTAAAGGTACTTCAAAAACTCAGTAAAGGGAATTAGCCTCATTCACTGAACTGCAAAGACCGTAATTTTACAAGTTGTCGTAAGACGAGTTTACGAAATCCTAAAATTGTAAAACCATGTGTTTCACAAAAATCCCACTGATGTCTTCGAGCACCTGGTAACTTCTGCAAAACTTGGTACCTTTTTCCAGGAGAACACAAAATAATTCAGTTTCAGTATGGTACCATACTGGACATTCTAGACATATATCCATCAAACCTTCTTTTTCTCCTCCCTTTATTATTAAACTCCAAAAGTTGATACATTTCAAATTTAACTGGCTAAAAGGAATATGAAAGTCCTTCCCTTGAGGACAGGTAATCTGAAAGCCTCGGGCACTACCAAGCACACACAGAAAGCCAACCAATCTAAGACTGAAAATACAGTAAGTAGGAACAAGTGACTTCTGAGGATCCCTGCCTCTCTGGTTCCAATAATTCATATCACTCTAGCTGCATATCCTTCCTGTCTTCTGACTGTAGTAAAGCAAATAGTGGAGTAGGAAAATAAAAATGCTCTAAGTGTTCCTAAATATCTTTCTGATTAAAGCAATAATCTGAAAACTGAGTCTATTACTGTTTGATCTAAGGAAGATAGAAAATTTAGTGGTCTTGCATCCACAGCATTCATAGAGTCTCTGGTAAAATTGCTGGAACGTTTGGGTAGAGAAAAAATGTTGAGCAGAGGTTAACACAAATCTGAATGTTTATGCAGAAAAGGTAAAACATATTCCTATGGGATAGAATAAGTTTTACTGTGGAATATCTGGAAGGTTCCAATATGAACAAGGACAACCTGTGCTTTAAAAGGTCTGCTTTTTAGGTATTCTATTAAGAGACCTACAATGAACCACAGCCAATAACTATGTTAACAATATGATTTGCCTTGTTTATACCACCAAGTGTGTATAATATTACATCAGTTTTAAAAAGGGCTCCTTGACAAAATTTTCATGTTGTTTAATAAAAAAAAATCTGTTATCCCATTTTCCCAGCAAACACAAGACCTATGGCAAGGGAATAGCAACGCAGCAGGTCAAAAATTAAGCAGAGCCTGAGATAGCCAAGAAATATCTGCAAATACAGGCATGGCTATGTAGACAACACAGAAACACATCTGAGCTCAGACTAGTAACAGTTTTTAAGACAGGACTGTGCAAACTCAAGTACTTAGTTACCTCACTAAATGTTTCGATTTATCAGTATGTGGCTGCATCCCATGTTTCAATATCCAGGATTGCCTACTTCACCTCCTTTTTTTATACTCTATCCCCAGGCCCAGCTGTATTCCTCTCACTCTTGTCTCTTATACATCCTTCCTTAGCCTGCCAGCAGCAGGTGCTTTTACAATGTAAAAGCTACACATCTGCTGACGGGTCGCTACGTGGCAGGATCACATTTTGAATGCCCACCTGATCACTGCCTTACAGCTCCTCCATAGACCAAGTAGCATACACTGCTCCATCTTTGCCAAGCAAGGTACACAAATCACTGTAGATCACAGAAAGTGAGGGGTTAGAAGGGACCTCGGAAGATCATCTAGTCCAACCCCCCTGCCAGGGCTGGATCACCTAGAGCAGGTCACACAGGAATGTGTCCAAGTGAGTTCTGAATGTCTCCAGGGAAGGAGACTCCACAACCTCCCAGGGCAGCCTGTGCCAGTGCTCTGTCACCCTCACAGTGAAAGGGTTTTTCTAATATTTTTGTGGAACCTCCTCTGTTCCAGCTTGTACCCATTGCCCCTTGTCCTGTCATTGGACATCACTGAGAAGAGCCTGGCTCTGTCCTCCTGACACTCCCCCTTGACATATTTATAAACATTTATGAGATCACCCCTCAGTCTCCTCCAAGCTGAAGAGACCCAGCTCCTTCAGCCTCTCCTCATAAGGGAGATGTTCCACTCCCTTCAGCATCTCTGTGGCTCTGCACTGGACTCTCTCAAGCAGTTCCCTGTCTCTCTTGAGCTGAGGGGCCCAGAACTGGACACAATATTCCAGATGTGGCCTCACCAGGGTATAGTAGAGGGGCAGGAGGAGCGCTCATGACCTACTAGCTACCCCACTTCTATTTCACCCACTTTAGCCAGACCTCACACAAGGGAACCAGGAACTGTCTGACATAGACCCCTCTGAGTGGGTTAAAAACCTCAGTAGAGCAGGAGGGTGACAGCAGAGTACACATAGAGTTGTGCAGTCTATTCTGGGCTGGTGCCAGAAGCCATCAGTACTGGTTTAAAGGCCACATGGCTGCATCCTAAATATACTCTCGTTTTAGTCGGTGAAAGCACGATTCCCTGATTTTATTTTTTTTGGCTATGATTATTGTATTATCTTTGTAGAGGAGGAGAAACATTCTTTCACGTTACTTTTATCTTGAATACTCATTAAATTCCCAGTTCCAGTATTTCTTGGTAAAACAGATAATCTGCTATCTCCTTAAATCTTTAGGCTTCAGACCTTTCACCATTAAACCCCAATGTCTGTCAAAAAAGTCCCAAATAAATGCTTATTCACATTTAATAAAAACGCCAGTCTTGTGCTATTTTTATCATTTTATAAAAGCAACAAGGAAATTCACACATTGATCTATTTTACCCTCTGTTGGTAATTTTTGTAGTTAAATATGCATTACCCATTATACCTTTTTTATGTTTGGTGCAAAAATATACACTTAGGTTCCACTTCTATTTCACCACAAGAACATTATAAAGTTCATAATAATAAATTATAAATAAGAAAGATTTCTATTGAACATAGAAGAGTAAATTTAGACAGTAATACCTGAAACAACACCAATTCCATCATCACAGTCATAATCAGAGACTTCACTGTCACTGATTCTTTTGGACCCTGCCAAAAAAATAAAACAAAATCAGTTATGTGTAATTTATCTTCCTACAAGTTAAAACTATCCCCAGTCAATTACAGACAAGTAAATGTAAGAATTTCATAGCTGACAATGAAGCATTGATATAAGCACATAAGGGAAATTACTGTTATATTATTACAAAGGTATTAGTGTACCAACTATTTTCAGCTAAATGTTTAATGTAATATACAATGAAATGCTGAAATACAGCTCTGCAACATTACTTTTATGATATATTTTCATATACTTCATATCTATAGGTATTCTTTCCATATAGCAACTGGCATCACACTGTTCATCTTCCAAGTTTTCATATACAATGCATCACCCCTCCCTGAAGTCTTTGACTACTAGAAGAATTAATAATAGTAATAATATTAAGTGGATGTAATATTTTCTTTGGGGTATTAGTAAGCATTCTTAGGAAAATAGGCAGCTTCACAAATACAGTGTGTCCTGAAAAAAAAGATAAATGTCTGTGATACTTTAGAGGAAGCAAGCTATAAAATGCTCTACAAGAGTACACCTGTCAAAATAGTTAGAGATTAGTTGGCAAAACCAGATTCCACATCCACAATTATAGCCAACGTGTAAGTCATGTAGAACAAATATATATGTCATTTTGTGTTTAGCTTAATTTTACTTCTGTAGCATCTTTTAAACAGTATTTGATTGCTGACATCAGGATTAATCACTGTCATGTGAATGATAATTATTCATTTACTTCTTTTAAATGTGAGAATCCCTTTCTTCAGCAAGATAGGTGTCTGTTCTAATTCTCTGGCCTTCTAAACATAAGTCACTAGAAGGCAGAAGCTTTAATCTAATTGTCATCAAACCTTCAACCATGTGCAACATGTTTTTATTCCTAGCGTAGGACAAATTATTCTGAAACACCTACACACACAAAAATGCCAGTGAAAACTGGTAGTATATCTAAAGAAGGTCACTGGCATAGATGGATCCCTACTCTCCTTTCCCAATGGAAAACTGGGAGAACAAGTGCTAAAAGGATTTTTGACAAGAATACAAAGATTTCAGTTTAAAGAAATTTTAGAAATTACTTGAATCATAAGAATTGTTGCCAACATCTGCCTACCCACCAGGGGATAGTGGAAGGTCCTTCTTTAGCAGAGCGTACTTACAAGATCTGTATGGAAAAAGTGTTCTGTTCTCAGAAGCTTGCTTTCAGCAGGCAGGGGTCCTGGCAACTGAGACTTCTCCTAAGCCATAGTCTTCACCATAAGTCACTAATCAAACCATTCTCCACAAATTCATATAATTTCTTTTTGAATCACAGTGTTCTCTTGGCCTCTATAATACGCTATCTCAGTAAGTTCTGCAGTTTCATTTTGCACTGTGTGAAGTAGACTTCCTTCTGTTTTATTTCTATTACATTACATCAAAAAATGGCCTCCAAGCTTTTGTATCCTGAGAAACATGAATCAGCATTCTATATTCTCCTGCAGTCATCTTTTTTTGAGCTAAAATATCATTTAGTTCCCTTGCATATGCAAACTATTATGAATTTCTGATTGTTCCTGCTGTATTTTTGTGTGTGTTTTCTAGTTCTTCTGTACCTTTCACAAGAAGTCAGAAGTGATTGCAGCAATTGAGATGTGGGTGTATGAATTTATGAACTAGAATACAGGCCATTTCTTTTGGGATAAATTTGCCCTGTTAAAAATTATTCAACTAGAAAACAGTATAAGTGTGATATGCTTTAATTCTTAAAAAACACAATCTAGCCTGCTATTACATTATGCAATTCTAAAAGTAATTAAGTCCGACATGGACAATAATTATTTTCTTAATTATAATATCACAGAAGCCAAATGAAAATCTCTTGTGCTTCCCAGAGAAAGAGTATCCATTCCACCTGTGGTGCTGTTCTTGCTGTCATTTCAGCAGAGTCTTCTACTGGTGTGGTGAGCAAGAAGGACTAGTCTCCATTCTCCTTAGACATTGATTCAAAACTAGATTCAAAACTAGATCATTAAATGAGAACGACAACATTTGTGACCAAAGACTAAGCAAGAGAGAGCTACTGCTTCGGCTGGGATTTGACTGAGAGCGAAGAGGCAGAAGTCCCCAGAGGGAGTGCAGATCAGTGCCATTCTGGCCTGTGGCAACCCTGTACTGGCCTGGCAGTGGGACTGTGGCTGCTGTGCAGAGATGCCAATAATAACACTCAGAGTCTATCAGAGAAAGAGAATGCTGGAACAGGAAGATGAGGGCACCTGAACAGTTTGCTGATGCTCATCACATGGATGCTTGGAAAGGTTTGTATTATGAAAGACATAAGAGGGATGAATCAGCTATGATTTGAATGGATGCCATTTACTCATCATCTAATTCATCCTTGTGAATGAATCTAATTACAACCAAGATTGCTTTTTATTTATGTTTATATTTACAGCTAAGTACATCTGCTTTAAAATATTTTTAGAATATCATGTTCAGTATTCTGGAGAAAAGATTTGCCTCTTCAAGGATGAAAATAGCCAGCTGTTGTCACAGCAGGCTCTAGACTTCTCAGTAGAATAGCTAAAATTACATGTCGTAGTAGTCACAGGATATTTCTGGCAGAGAGACTAAGAAGCTTCAATGGACCACATGACAGAGGTCTCTTTCATTCTGTCTTACCAAACTACATCCACCTTTTCCAGATTCTCCTAATACCTCTACTCCAAATCACCTTCCAGGGTCTAAAGTTGTTTTCCCTTTATTATATATAGGCTTCTGTCTTCACTCCCATTCAAGCTGCAGGCAAGAGCCAGGGCATGGGGAAAGTGAATGGGCCAGGATTGAGACCTGCCCTAAGGATGGGAAAAGTAGAGAAAGAGTCAAGGGAAGTCAAGGGAAGAATCAGAATTCAGAGCTTTCTCCAATTGCCTTTGCTACTGTAAAGGGAAGAGTCTTTTGTAATAGCTGACATCCCTAAAATATGAAAATTTTATCTGTAAGATGAGATATGGTGATCATTCAGATCAGATCGTCTATCTCCTCAGCCAGAGGCTACCCTAAGCCTAACAGACTACTCTACAACTACTAACAGACTTAAACCAACTGAAAAACAATCATATATAAATAATATTTCACACATAATTTTTAAATGCTAATTAAGAAGTCAGAAGACATTTAAACTAGAATGTATTACTTGGTTTTATCTTCAGAAATCAATGTTTTCAGGAAGGACAGAGGAAGGAAAACATGTCACTTAAATACATAATGTCAAGAGGTACTGCCTGGAATACATAACTTCTGCAAAGCAATCAAATTATAGTTATTTAAAATGTCTTCCATTAACCTCAGAAATGGAACAAACTAGAAAGTGCACAGGTCAAAATCCTTTATTGAACTGAGTATGAGGAATATCAGTACAACTGTAGGCAGTTTAGTTTAATATTTCTTATAATTTTTGCTGGAGTAATTTCATCTGCTATGTATTAATTTTAGAGGTAATTTTCTTCTTAACCTATTGACAATGTTAATTTGAAGATTTAGGCTTTGGTCCCACCTTAGCCATGTCTTTTCAAAATACCATTTCACTGAATATTAAATACCACTCCATATAAATATTGCTAATGAAATTGTTACTTAGTATTTTAATGAACATCTCAAAGTGTTTGTCAAATACATTATAAAATATGGTACTTATTTCAAGAGCAGAAGGATTAAATCCATTCTAACAGAAATTTAAAATTCTGTAAAAAGTTTAAGTATGTAACACCGGGTACACTGGGTGCATCAAATAAATGCATTGGTATCAGTGGTTTGCATATAATTAACTTTTTCTTTGATGGATCTTAAATATGAAGAATAGCATTAATTAAGTCTCACTGCCATTGCACCGAAATATAGTTTATTAATAAAACATTCTTAGGGAAATTATTACCATTTTGTCTGATAACTGGGTAGTAACAAATGGCAAATATGGACTTTTGAATGCCTTCCATCAGTATTAATGGCTATTAAAGTTACGAGCTGAAGGCAAAACAGACCCCATGCTGTATGATTAGTGAAAATCACATAAAAAATGCCTTAATCTAGCACACATCCAACCCACTGAAAACCGAAGATATATTCTTATTCACTTCAGCAAGTTTGGGTTTAATAGCCTTGAACTATCAATAAAACAGTTTTCCAGGGACACCTTAAAGTGGGGACAGTGGAGAACCTCCCCATCAGAATTTGATAACTCTCAGTATCCTCCTTCCCTCCTGCACCTATCTATTCCTTCCCTACCGCTAGTGCTGCATAACCTACTATCCGACAACTCTGCAAGAGCATCTACAAACTAGAACTGGAAGTTTGTGGCTCTTGCACCATAGCTTTCATTGCAGGATTGGGAAAAAAATCCCAACACCTAAAAACCATTAGGCCCTTTATTTTCAATTTCCATTTCAAAAGTACTTTGAATTTAAATTTTTACTGCTTTACTTTTTTTCCTATTTAATTTTTTAATTTCTATTAGGCAGAAAAGGAATTTTAAATACAGTAGCTTCTTAGTGTAAAAAACTTTAGAATTTTCATCTTCAAGGCTAGCAATAATGTGAAGAGTGAGGTGTTTTATTCCATTTTATGAATCAAATATTTTTTATTAACTTTTCATGGGCTGCAGTATTGGTGGCCACAGAAAGCTTTAACAAACTTCCAAATGAAAATCATATGCAAATCATTGAAGAAATTTTTAGAGCATTTTCTTTGGATGTCTCAAGCCTATCAGTGTTTAGGAGGCATTTGGACAATCCATATAATAACATACTTTAACTTTCTGTGAGCCCTGAAGTGGTGAGGCAATTGGACTAAATGATTGTTGTAATGTCCCTTTCAACTGAACTATTCTCTGCTATCCTATTTTACTTTTACAGAATCTCATTCCTCTCCATGACAGCATTCTAAATAATTGGAACTTTTCCAAATGAATGAAACAAACGACAATCATAACTATCTTCTTGCAAAGCAACCAAAATCTGTG